GAGTTTTTTAATATTTTGATATTTCTGGTTTGGCATTTTTCGATTCTTCAATTTTTTGTTTTTCTTTTTTTTTCGGGTTGAATTTTAGATTTTTCGAATTCTCGATTTTTTGACTTCTCGATTTTAGATTTTTTGGTGTGCAATATTTTTGGATTGGATTTTTAAATTTTTTGGTTTTTAAATTTTTCGATTTTTTCAATTTTCCGAAGTGTCAGATTTACGATTTTTCAATTTTTCCTCTATTTTTCCATTTTTCGATTTCTGGATTTTTCAATTTCTAATTTTTTCCATGTGTCAGTTGTAGGATTTTTCTTCTATTTTTCGATTCTTTACTTTTGCTTGCATTTTTTAATATTTTGATATTTCCGTTTTGGCATTTTTCGATTCTTCAATTTCTTGTTTTTTTTTTATTTTTTCGGGTTAAATTTTAGATTTTTCGATTTCTCGATTTTTGACTTCTCGGTTTTAGATTTTTCGGGATCTACTATTATTTAGGGACTGGACTTTTAAATTTTTTGGTTTTTAAATTTTTCGATTTTTTCAATTTTCCGAAGTTTCAGATTTACGATTTTTCAATTCTTCCTTTATTTTTCCATTTTTCGATTTCTGGATTTTTCAATTTCTAATTTTTTCCATGTGTCAGTTGTAGGATTTTTCTTCAATGTTTCGATTCTTCAATTTCTTGTTTTTTTTTAATTTTTTCGGGTTAAATTTTAGATTTTTCGGTTTCTACTATTTTTGGATTTTTAAATTGTTTGGTTTTTAGATTTTTCGATTTTTTCAATTTTCCGAACTTTCAAATTTATGATTTTTCAATTTTTCCTCTATTTTTCATTTTTCGATTTCTGGATTTTTCAATTTCTAATTTTTTCCATGTGTCAGTTTTAGGATTTTTCTTCAATTTTTCGATTCTTCACTTTTTCTTACGTTTCTTAATATTTTGATATTTCCGTTTTGGCATTTTTCGATTCTTCAATTTCTTGTTTTTTTATTTTTTCGGGTTAAATTTTAGATTTTTCGATTTCTCGATTTTTTGACTTCTCGGTTTTAGATTTTTCGGTATCCACTATTTTTGGAAGGGATTTTTAAATTTTTTTGGTTTTTAAATTTTTTCGTATTTACGATTTTTCAATTTTTCGTCTATTTTTCCATTTGTCGATTTTTCAATTTCTAAATTTTTACATGTTTCAGTTTTAAGATTTTTCTTCATTTTTCGACTCTTCACTTTTTCTTGAGTTTTTTAATATTTTGATATTTCTGGTTTGGCATTTTTCGATTCTTCAATTTTTTGTTTTTCTTTTTTTTTCGGGTTGAATTTTAGATTTTTCGAATTCTCGATTTTTTGACTTCTCGATTTTAGATTTTTTGGTTTCCAATATTTTTGGATTGGATTTTTAAATTTTTTGGTTTTTAAATTTTTCGATTTTTTCAATTTTCCGAAGTTTCAGATTTACGATTTTTCAATTTTTCTTCTATTTTTCCATTTTTCGATTTCTGGATTTTTCAATTTCTAATTTTTACCATGTGTTACGATTTTTCAAATTTTCATCTATTTTTCCATTTTTCGATTTCATTACTTTACAACTTCTCAGTTGTAGATTTTTTGGTTTTTCATTTTCGATTTTCGCATATTTCACTTTTCTGATTTTTTAAATTTTTTGATGTTTCGATTTTTAGTCATTTCAGTTTGGGAATTTTTCCGTTTCTCGTTTTTCCAGTTATTCGATTCTTTAATTTTTCGATTTTTCAATTTTTTAACGTCTCAAAATTTTCAATTTTTGGATTTCTCAATTTCTTGCTTAATCGAGTTTTTGGTTTTCCTATTTCTCATTTTCTCGACTGTTTAATATTTTGATTTTTCAGTTCTTCAATTCTTTTCGATTTTTGAGGTTGATTTTAAAATTTTTTGTTTTTTAAATTTTTCGATTTTTCCATTTTCCGAAGTTTCAGATTTACGATTTTTCAAAATTTCATCTATTTTTCCATTTTTCGATTTTTCTACTTTACAACTTCTCAGTTGTAGATTTTTTGGTTTTTCATTTTCGATTTTAGCATATTTCACTTTTCCGATTTTTTAAATTTTTTGATGTTTCGACTTTTAGTCATTTCAGTTTGAGAATTTTTCCGTTTCTCGTTTTTTCAGTTATTCGATTCTTTAATTTTTCGATTTTTCAATTTTTTAACGACTCAAAATTTTCAATTTTTGGATTTCTCAATTTCTTGATTAATCGAGTTTTTGGTTTTTCTATTTCTCATTTCCTCGACTTTTTAATATTTTGATTTTTCAGTTCTTCAATTCTTTTCGAGTTTTGAGGTTGATTTTTAAATTTTTTTTTTAATTTTTTGATTTTTCAATTTTCCGAAGTTTCAGATTTACGATTTTTCAAATTTTCATCTATTTTTCCATTTTTCGATTTTTCTACTTTACAACTTCTCAGTTGTAGATTTTTTGGTTTTTCATTTTCGATTTTAGCAATTTCACTTCTTTGATTTTTTTAATTTTTTGATGTTTCGATCTTTAGTCATTTCAGTTTGGGAATTTTTCCGTTTCACGTTTTTTCAGTTTTTCGATTCTTTAATTTTTCGATTTTTCAATTTTTTAACGTCTCAAAATTTTCAATTTTTGGATTTTTCAATGTCTTGATTAATCGAGTTTTTGGTTTTCCTATTTCTCATTTCCTCGACTTTTTAATATCTTGATTTTTCAGTTCTTCAATTCTTTTAGATTTTTGAGGTTGATTTTTAAATTTTTTGGTTTTTTTAATTTTTCGATTTTTCAATTTTCCGAAGTTTCAGATTTACGATTTTTCAAATTTTCATCTATTTTTCCATTTTTCGATTTCTCTACTTTACCACTTCTCAGTTGTAGATTTTTTGGTTTTTCATTTTCGATTTTAGCATATTTCACTTCTCTGATTTTTTAAATTTTTTGATGTTTCGATTTTCAGTCATTTCAGTTTGGGTATTTTTCCGTTTCTCGTTTTTTCAGTGATTCGATTCTTTAATTTTTCGATTTTTCAATTTTTTAACGTCTCAAAATTTTCAATTTTTGGATTTATCAATTTCTTGATTAATCGAGTTTTTGGTTTTCCTATTTCTCATTTCCTCGACTTTTTAATATCTTGATTTTTCAGTTTTCCAATTCTTTTCGATTTTTGAGGTTGATTTTTAAATTTTTTGTTTTTTAAATTTTTCGATTTTTCAATTTTCCGAAGTTTCAGATTTACGATTTTTCAAATTTTCATCTATTTTTCCATTTTTCGATTTTTCTACTTTACAACTTCTCAGTTGTAGATTTTTTGGTTTTTCATTTTCGATTTTAGCATATTCACTTCTCTGATTTTTTAAATTTTTTGATGTTTCGATTTTTAGTCATTTCAGTTTGGGAATTTTTCCGTTTCTCGTTTTTTCAGTTATTTGATTCTTTAATTTTTCGATTTTTCAATTTTTTAACGACTCAAAATTCTCAATTTTTGGATTTCTCAATTTCTTGATTAATCGAGTTTTTGGTTTTCCTATTTCTCATTTCCTCGACTTTTTAATATTTTGATTTTTCTGTTCTTCAATTCTTTTAGATTTTTGAGGTTGATTTTTAAATTTTTTGTTTTTTAAATTTTTTAATTTTTCGATTTTTCAATTTTCCGAAGTTTCAGATTTACGATTTTTCATTTTTTCCTCTATTTTTCCATTTTTCGATTTCTGGATTTTTCAATTTCTAATTTTTTCCATGTGTCAGTTTTATGATTTTTCTTCAATTTTTCGATTCTTCACTTTTTCTTGCATTTTTTAATATTTTGATATTTCCGTTTAGGCAGTTTTCGATTCTTCTATTTCTTGTTTTTTTTTTATTTTTCCGAGTTAAATTTTAGATTTTTCGATTTCTCGATTTTTTGACTTCTCGGTTTTAGTTTTTTCGGTATTTTTGGATTGGATTTTTAAATTTTTTGTTTATAAAATTTGTCCAATTTTTCAATTTTCCCAAGTTTCAAATTTACGATTTTTCAATTTTTCCTCAATTTTTCCATTTTTCGATATCTGGATTTTTCAATTTCTAATTTTGTCCATATGTCAGTTTTAGGATTGTTTGATTTTTCACTTTTTCGTGCATTTTTTAATATTTTGATATTTCCGTTTTGGCATTTTTCGATTCAATTTCTTGTTTTTTTAATTTTTCGGATTAAATTTTAGATTTTTCGATTTCTTGATTTTTTGACTTCTCGGCTTTAGATTTTTCGGTTTCTACTATTTTCGGATTGGATTTTAAAATTTTTTGGTTTTTAAATTTTTCGATTTTTCAATTTTCCGAAGTTTCAGATTTACGATTTTTCAAATTTTCATCTACTTTTCCATTTTTCGATTTTTCTACTTTACAACTTCTCAGTTGTAGATTTTTTGGTTTTTCATTTTCGATTTTAGCATATTTCACTTCTCTGATTTTTTAAATTTTTTAATGTTTCGATTTTTAGTCATTTCAGTTTGGGAATTTTTCCTTTTCTCGTTTTTTCAGTTATTCGATTCTTTAATTTTTCGAATTTTTAATTTTTTAACGTCTCAAAATTTTCAATTTTTGGATTTCTCAATTTCTTGATTAATCGAGTTTTTGGTTTTCCTATTTCTCATTTCGTCGACTTTTTAATATTTCGATTTTTCAATTTTTTGTTTTTTTAAATTTTGAATTTTTCGACATAATTTTCTTAGGGGGATCTCATTTGCCAAAATCAGTCTTATCCTAGCAGTTACTGGCCCGCCCACCCACCTTCTCTAGTATTTAGTTTGTTATATGCTTTAATGAATTTTTTTTTGTTGGTTTGTTAAAATTTTTTTTGGTTTATTTGTTAATAAAAAATAACTGGTTTTATTAATATTAGAAATCAGAAAGTATTCACGCATTTTTTTCGTAATCTACATCATAATTTTTTTTTATTATTTATTCAGTATTGAAGAGTTTATCCGCCATTTTCCAGACATCCGGTATAAGAATATATTAAAAGTGAACTTACTGCGCTCGCTTGGTTGCTACTCCTCGTACTCGGCTGCGCCCCGAAGTGCGACATCTTGTTCTGGTCTAGTTGGCCAGGCGTCGTCCTCTCTCCCCACTCCTCGTCCCGTTCTTGCGTGAGAAAAGCCGTCTTTGATTCATCCAAAGCTTTCGGAACTCGGGCACCATTTTCCCTCGTCTCGTCACTACTATTTTGATTAGTAAACTGGGCTAGTTTCGACGGGTTCAACTGTCCGGGGGCCACTCGTTCCAGACGAGGCGCCTCCGCTGGACTAGTTTGCGTCAAAAACGCCGTTTTTGATGAATCGAGCACTTTGGGTGACCTAGGGGGGGTTGGTGTTTGAGACACTTCTTCGGTGCTTTTGGTGGCGAACATGACCGCTTTAGCATGAACGATCTTCTTCGGGGTGGACATCCGTTCCACCTCGGGTTTGTCCTGCGAGCTCTAGAAATCGAGTTTCGTGAAGTCGTTGATCTAAACTTTGAATAACGAGTTCTCACCATGTGTTCGAATTTGGCCCGCAAGTCTCCCGGTCGGGCGTTGCCGATGTCCGGTTTCACTTTGGTGTAGTTCGTTCCAACTTTCGCCGGCTCCTCGTTGAAGGAGGCGGCGGATTTGTCCACTCTGTCGGTTTGGAGCCCGAATTTTCCCCCGAATCCGATCTTGTGATCGGTTTGACTTTCGTGCTTTTGAGGCGCTTCGTGGTGATCCCAACCCACGGCCGATTTGTCTTGTCGGTCGGACTGGACGCCGAACTTTCCGCCGAAGCCTTTGGCGTAATCTGAAGGCCGGATTTAACAAAGTCGGAAATAACGAGCTTTCTTTGAACGTATTTTTAGAAGTTTCAATGTTAAACGAGTTATGCTATGATTATTAATTTGTACCTTTTTGTGACTCATGCTTTTCCACTTTTTCCACGTGATCCCAGCCCACAGCCGACTTGTCTTGTCGGTCGGTTTGGACCCCGAATTTGCCGCCGAATCCGGAGGTGTAGTCCTTCTGGGACGCGTGCTTTTCGACTTTTTCTTTGTGCTCCCAGCTGACGGCACTCTGAAAAAAAGCGGTCCAAGGTTATTTCGACAGAACAATGTTATCTTCAAAATTTACAATAGTAAATGTTTCAATTTTATAAAATAACGTGTCCCTCTATTTGTGGTTTATGAAGCCGTGTTGAGTTTTTACCTTGGGTATACAGAATTTTTGAAAAAAAAAATTGTGTGACATTTTACAATTTAACTTTAAATTCGCAAATCAAGTGCTCTGAATTCCTGCAAGCGTTTTAAGGTTATCGGGATTTTTTAATTTTTCGATTCTTCGATGTTTTTCGGTTTTTCATTTTCGATTTTGGCCTATTTTGATTTCTCAATTTTTCGACCTCTCCAACTTTTTGAATTTTTCTATTTTTTAATTTCTCGGTTTTTCGATTTTTCCGATTTCCCAGTTTTTCGTCATTTCAGTTTTGGAATTTTTCAATTTCTCTGTATTTTAAATTTTTCGAATTTTCGATTTTTCAGTTTGATTTTTTTTGACCTTTAAATTTTAGATTCTTCGATTTCTCGATTTTTTCAATATTGCCATATATCTCAGTTTCATATTTTTCGGTTTTTCATTTTCAATTTATAAAATGTCTTATTTTTCGATTTTTTTATTTTCGATTTCTCAATTTCTTGATTAATCGATTTTTTGGTTTAATTTCTCGTTTTCAAATTTTTTAATGTTTTAATTTTTCAGTTTTTCCATTCTTTTCAATTTTTGATTTTTCAATTTTTCGACTTTTTGATTTCTCGATTTTTCAATTCCTAAATTTTTCGATGTTTCAATTTTAGGATTTTTCGATTCTTCAATTTCTTGTTTTTTTTTTATTTTTTCAATTTATATTTTAAATTTTTTTATTTCTCTATTTTTTGACTTCTCGCGATTAGATTTTTCGGTTTCTAATATTTTTGGATTGGATTTTTAAATTTTTTGGTTATTAAATTTTCCGATTTTTTCAATTTTCCGATGTTTCAGGTTTACGATTTTTCAATTTTTCATCTATTTTTCCATTTTTTTTAGCCTATTTTTACTTCTCCGACTTTTTGAATTTTTTGATGTTTCGATTTTCCAATTTTTCCATTTCCCAATTTTTAGTCACTTCAATTTGGGAATTTTTCAATTTTTCTAGTTTTTAATTTTTTGATTTTTCAATTTCCTAACGTCTCAAAATTAAATTTTTCGATTTCTCTTCATATTTCTTGTTTTCTCCATTTTTTAATGTTTTGATTCTTTAGTTTTTCAACACTTTTCGATTTTTGAGGTTTCTGATTTTCCAATGTTTTGATTTTTTAAAATTTGAATTTTGCGACATCGATTTTTTGATTTCTCGATTTTTCAAGTTCTAAATGTTTCGATGTTTCAGTTTTAGGATTTTTCTTTATTTTTTTGATTCTTCAATTTTTCTTCCAATTTTTAATTTTACGAAATTTCCGTTCTGTGATTTTTCGATTCTTCAATTTTTTGATTTTTTTTTTACTTTTTCGACTTTTAAATTTTACATTTTTCAATTTCTCGATTTTTTGATTTCTCGCTTTTGGATTTTTCGATTTCTCTATTTCTTTTTGATTTTTGAGGTTTTTTGTTTTTTCAGTTTTTCGACTTTTTGATTTTTCGATTTTTCAATTCCTAAATTTTTGGATGTTTCGGTCTTAGGATTTTTCTTCAATTTTTCGATTCTTCAATTTCCTTGTTTTTTTTTATTTTTTCGAGTTAAATTTTAGATTTCCGACTTCTGGATTTTTTGACTTCTCGCTTTTAGATTTTTCGGTTTCTAATATTTTTTTATTGAATTTTTTGGTTTTTTAATTTTTCAATTTTTTTCAAATTTTCTATGTTTCAGTTTTACATTTTTCGAATATCCTTTTTCGATTTTTAAAATTTTTTATTTTTCCATTTTTAAATTTTCGACTTTTTCGACCTTTTGAATTTTCCAATGTTTCGATTTTTCAATTTCTGACTCTAAATTTTAAATTTTTCGATTCATTGGGAAATCGATTTTTTGGTTTTCCTATTTCTCGATTTCTCAACTTTTTAATGTTTTGAAATTTCAGTTTTTCAATTCTTTTCGATTTTCCAGGTTTTTGAATTTTTCGATTTTTAAAATTTTGAATTTTTCGACATCGATTTTTCGACTTTTTGATTTCAACATATTTTCGTTTCAGTTTAGGATTTTTCTTCCATTTTTCAATCCTTCAATTCTTCCATTCTTTAATTTTTCGATAATTTCCTTTTGGGATTTTTCGATTCTTCAATTTCTTGTTTTTTTTTTATTTTTTCGACTTTTAATTTTAGATTTTAAAACTTTGAATAATGTTTCGATTTCTAGATTTGTTGACTTTTTTAGATTTTCCGGTTTTTAATTTTTTTCGATTGTATTTTTACATTTTTTGGTTTTTAAATTTTCCGATTTTTTCAATTTTACGACTCTTCCATTTTTCGGTTCTCGATTTTGGATTTTCATTTTTAAAATTTTTTATTTTTGGATGTTCCAATTTTTCGAAATTATGATTTTTCAATTTTTCGGTTTCCAATTTTTTAGATTTCTCAATTTTCCGATATTTCAGTTCTACTATTTTCAGTTTTTCGACAGTTCAAATTTTCGGTTTTTAGATTTTTCGATTTTTCAATTTTTAACGTCTCCAACTTTTTGAATTTTTCGATTTTTTAATTCCTCGGTTTTTCGATTTTCCGATTTCCCAGTTTTTCGTCATTTCAGTTTTGGAATTTTTCAATTTCTCTGAATTTTAAATTTTTCGAGTTTTCGACTTTTTAATGTTTTGATTTTTCAGTTTGTCAATTCTTTTCGATTTTTGATTTTTTGGTTTTTCAATTTTTCCATTTTTAATAATGAAGAGTCGTAAAATGGAAAAAATTGGCACAAATCTAGAAATCGAAACATTAAAAGTTTTAAAATGTAAAATTAAAAGTCGAAAAAATAAAAAAAAAAACAAGAAATTGAAGAATCGAAAAATCCCAAAAGGCAATTATTGAGAAATTAAAGAATGGAAGAATTGAAAAATTGAAGAAAAATCCCAAGCTGAAACGGAAAAATGTTAAAATTGGAAAAAATTTAAATTGGGAAATCAAAAAGTCGAAAAATCGAAGTCGAAACATTCAAAATTTCAAAAATCGAAGAATTGAAATTCAAAAACCTGAAAAATCGAAAAGAATTGAAAAACTGAAATATCAAAACATTAAAAAGTCGAGAAATCGAGAAATAGGAAAACCAAAAAATCGATTTCTCAATGAATTGAAAAATTGAAAATTTAGATGTCAGAAATTGAAAAATCGAAACATTGGAAAATTCAAAAGGTCGGAGACGTCGAAATAGGCTAAAATCGAAAATTTAAAAACCGAAAAATAAAAAATTTTAAAAATCGAAAAAGAAAAATCTAAAAATTTAAGACTGAAACATCGGCAAATTGAAAAAAATTGAAAAATTAAAAACCAAAAAATTAAAAAATCCAATCCAAAAATATTAGAATCCGAAAAATCTAAAAGCGAGAAGTCAAAAAATCCAGAAATCGGAAATCTAAAATTTAACTCGAAAAAATCAAAATTTAAAAAATTAAAACTTTGAAAAATCAGAAACCTCAAAAATCGAAAAGAATTGAAAACCTGAAAAATCAAAACATGAAAAAAATGGAGAAAACGAGAAATATGAAGAGAAATCGAAAAATTGAAAATTTTGAGACGTTAAGAAATTGAAAATCCAAAAATTAAAGACTAGAAAAATTGAAGAATTTCCAAATTGAAATCGAAAATGAAAATCCGAGAAATCTAAAACTGAAACATCGAAAAGTAGAAAAATGGAAAAATAGATGAAAAATTGAAAAATCGTAAATCTGAAACATCGGAAAATTGAAAAAATCGACAAATTTAATAACCAAAAAATGTAAAAATCCAATCCAAAAATATTAGAAACCGAAAAATCTAATAGCGAGAAGTCAAAAAATCGAAAATTTAAATTAAAAAAAATAAAAAAGAACAAGAAATTCAAGAATCGAAAAATCCCAAAACTGAAATATCGAAAAATTAAAAAATGTAAGAAAAAGTGAAGAATCGAAAAATTGAAGAAGAATCCTGAAACTGAAACATCGAAAAATTTAGGAATTGAAAAATCAAGAAATCAAAAAGTCGAAAAATTGAAAAAACAAAAATCGAAAAGAATTTAAAAACTGAAAAATTAAAACAAAAAAAAATGAAAACGAGAAATTAAACCAAAAAATCGATTAATCAAGAAATTGAGAAAACGAAAATTAAAAAATCGAAAAATAAGACATGAAAAACCGAAAAATTTGAGAACCCAAAATCTAAAAGGGAAAAGTCAAAAAATCGAGAAAACGAAGAATCTAAAATTTAAAGGTTAATCGAAAAATTTAGGAATTGAAAAATTACGGTTCTCGATTTTGGATTTTTTGGTTTTTCAATTTTTCCATTTTCAAAATTTTTGATTTTTGGACGTTCCGATTTTTCGAATTTTTGATTTTTCAATATTTCGGTTTCCAAATTTTTAGATTTCTCAATTTTCCGATATTTCAGTTTTACGATTTTCAATTTTTCGACCGTCCAAAATTTCGGTTTTTAGATTTTTCGATTTTTCAATTTTTGACGTCTCCAAAGTTTCAATTTTTTTATTTCTTCTGAATTTCTGGGTTAATCGATTTGTTATTTTTCTATCTGTCGATTTCTCCAGCTTTCATTTTTCCATTTTTCGGTTTTTCAATTTTTCAGGTTTTTAAAAAATCAAAAATTAATTTTGAATTTTTCAATTTTTAGCATTTCGATTGTGGCCTATTCTGATTTCTCAATTTTTCGATTTCTCGGTTTTTCGACTCTCGGATTTTCTAATTTTTCGATGTTTTGATTTCCCAATTTTTCGTCATTTTAGTTTTGGAATTTTTCAAATTCCTGATTTTTAAATTTTTCGATTTTTAAAGTTTCGATTTCTCGATTTTTCAAAATTTTTAAACTTTTGATTTATATTATTCAATATTTCATTTTTCAATGTGCCG